TTTGAATTCATGCAAATATGCTTGTTCAGAAGAGCGAGGTTAATGATACTAATGAGACCATACGAAATACATGCGCCTGTGAGTTTTCCTTTTCTTAGCACGCTCATCAAATGCCTAAAAAGAACTAATTGCCGATAAGTCTATTACCACCGGCGTGAGGCCAACAAACCTGTGATCAACACATAGTTGTGACTGCCCTTTTATGTATAATTTTCACTTTAAACTAAACGTTTCGTCAGCCAAAGTAGGTTTTTTGCGGGTCAAACTAGACAGTTTATTTGTAAACCGAACCTCAACAACATATTAGCAAGAAAAGTGTAAGGTGATTAGATGGTCTTCAAGCCACATTGCGGTCAGGTTAATGCAACCCGAAGTGTGGACGCTAGTACAAGCGCTTCTATTTATTGTGAGCGTCGTCCAAACCTAATCAAAGGCTTTGATGTAGATTTCCCCCATCTTCCCTTAACCTAATGCTCCCGCCTCTTTCATTTCCTCAGCGAATTGAATCCCCACCAGGCTTCCTTGTTGTTAGCACACAGATTCCGTTTTAATTAGCACCTAGTTGTCCGTCTGCTTACATTGTGTGCTCGGTGCCAAGAGGACGCCTCACTCTGGATTCCAACAGCCTCACCGACCTGTTAGATATCCAATGAATAGTATTGTGAATACTGAGACCGTGTTGAATATGGCGACCGGAACTCTATCCCACTGAAGCTCGATGTCATGACATGTTGGTGACCTTGCCTGGTTGAGGGTTGGGATAGCGTCCCAGATGCTAATCAATGGAGACGCTTAATACATCGACAATGTAACAAGGCATGATCAGAAAAGACGCACATAATTCACGATGGGCGACAACCCAGTATTGAAGCACACACCATATGAAAAGTAATGTGATCTACTTGAGTCCATCACTTCGGTGCCCTCTTTGCGCTGTTAAGAAACAACCGATGCTAGGCGCGAAGTTGCAGTAATAGCTCGTCCGTTTTGAGTTAAGCCCCAAATTACCATCTAGCTGAGTTTCTGAGTAGCTCAGCTAACTTGCTTGCGCATCCGTCGTATCTTCTTTAACTACAACGATATTCATAGACTTGGAAACAATCGGCTGGTGTATTTGTTGGGTAACATTTCGCTTATGGCACAAAATTTCCTCAGGCTAAGTGAAGCAGTACAAAACTGGAGCAGCACTTTATGGCGAACTGGGACAATAGTTGCGATAGCAGAGGCAAACGTCAATCTGTTAGTGCAGTCAGTTCAGTGTGTCAGCTCGTGGTTCAGCCAGTAAGACTAGTCCATAATCGCGTTGACAAATAAGCCCCTGGCGGTGGCAATGCCGAGTGGATTTTCGCTTTCTGACCTACTCTATCCTGTCCACACAGCTGTCGGTTCTCACGAGTTCTATCGCCTCAGCAATCATCTGCTGCAGCGTTGCTCGTATATCCCTCCTAATGATTTCTACATTATCCAACTCGATCTAGTGACTCGTGTCTAATGCTTGCACAGACATTGTATTCGAAATCGTCCTCCGATGGTTGTGAAGTGCGCTTTAATTCTCTGAAATTATTATGCGTAGCTCTTGCGGTTTGACCTATATAAACACGTGCATAGTCCTTACATTTAATTTTATACACGCTGTTTTCTATCCTTGGGAAGTGGGCCATTCAGATGTACCAGCATCGAACGTAGTATTAGACCACGCTGGAAGAACGCCCTTATATGCTCCCTGTTTAGAATCCTCTGACTCTTTTGAATTCCAGAAGAGTAGTAGGGAGAGTTAGATGGTATAGGTGGAAATTCTCCACATCTAGACTCACTCAGACATCCATCACACGCTCGGAAAGCATTGTACGCGCGTTTCATCCTTTCAGGAATCGTCAGCAGTGAGCATTCCATCGGGCCCTGGTAGGGTTCGAACCCGCAACTCAACTGTTGCCGGTCCTCTGCACGGCAGTAACGTGTAAGTCAGTGGATAGTGAGCGGCGATGGTTGCCGTCCGGCGTAGCTCAGTGGTCTTTTTGATTCGTGAAACACGTAGAGAACCTGAACGTGCGTCGCAAACTCATGCTTTCATTCGCTGTTGAATCATTCTTCACCAATGTCCCACTGCCAGAAACCGTCAATTTTTTGTGTGATTAAACTACCACCAAGAATATAGACCTCAGGATTCCGGCAAGCACAATAAAGGAACTTAATTTACGATGCATTTCTTATTTCATGGAATCTATTATAGGCAAATTGACGGTGTGGTGATGGGGTCCCCTTAGGACCGCACCTTGTTGATGTTTTCCTGGCGAAGCTTGAACGGGGACCATTGCAACCGGTTAATCTCTCAACGTTTGATTCGTATTTGCGATATATAGATGACACTTTCATTGTATGTGATTCAAACAGAGACGTTTCTTGTCTCTTAGCTCAATTCAACAACGCACATCCGGCGCTACATTTCACCAGTGAAAAGGAAAGCGATGGAACACTGTACTTTTTGGACATGTTTCTGAGGCGACGGAACGACCGCTCTCTGGAGAGAAGCGTTTTCCAGAAGTCAACATGGACGGGCCAATACACACACTTTGTAAGCTTTGTGCCTTTGCAACACAAGAGGAACTTATTTGCATTACCGTGCCGCCACAATCTGCAGCCCAGAGACGCTGGACGAAGAGAAACATCGTATCTTCAGGATATTGCAAGTGAACGGATATCCCGTTCAGTTTATCAGAAAACATGCCACGATTCGTCTGCGCTCCGAAATTACCGTACCAAAAAAGATGTACCATTCAAAGGAGATGTTGCCTTGTACCTACTGATAAGGAGACTCAGCCGCAGTGTCCAAAACCTACCCAACCGCCTATCTACATGTACTTACTCAGACCGCTCCCTTTGTTACCCCGTGCCTCAGATACAGATTCCCTGTCCTGTTCTAATCATACGTATTGTATCAATTTACTTACACCTGTAGTGCAGGACATCTCGGGCATACAACCAGGCGTCTATCAAAACGGGTAGCAGAGCAGTGCCCAGGCTCGTTAAGACAAGGCATAAACAGTGCTATCATGGAATATCTGATCCTATGCGGACACGAAATTCAAGTATCAAATGCGTTTAAGATCTGCTACTCTGTCTCACCACGCCACCCGAAGGCTCTCAGAAAGCGTCTCTTGCAAATAGCTGAAGCCGTTTCCATCAGACTGACCCAGCCCGAGCTTTGCAAGCAACAAGCCTTCGTACAATTGCTTCTCCTACCCTGGTCACGCGCCAATTACTCGGGGTCGGACACTAACTGCTTTCTGTCGGCTGCGAGGCCTACCCTAGGCGGCGTACAATCGGCTGCGAGGCGAACCCTAAGTGAATCGACCTAGGCATCGATCTGACCTACTGACTCGGTCCAAACTCTTGGCTTAGCTCTCCTCAGCGTAGCTGACGGCAGTTTACTACGTTGTGTTTTTATTACTGTAATGGCCTGATGAGGATAAGCGAAAAGAGATCTCTTCGCTATTTGGACTTCTTACCCTCTGAACAGTTTCTGAAGTCCCTTGCCTGTACGGAACCCCGATCATCCATACTACTATGTGGCTATTAACATTTGGTTCAACGCTTTATGTAAATGGCGTTTGACTAACCGCCTTAGGTAACCACTATGTAATAGTTCGACGTACTGCTTTCTTTCCACGTAACCTTTTTGTCCTCCTCCATCGTGCTCAGTAGAACAGCGCTGAGGCTATCGCAGCGTAAATGTCTTTCGAATGAGGCGGAATGTAGTGGAGTACTCCGTCAGCATCTGTCGGCTTGCGATATATGGTCGTCTTTAAAGTTCCTCCATTCCTCTGAACGAGGCAGCCAAGAAATGGTATTGCAACGCTACAAAATTCCAACACGACAGTAAAATGTATCATCTCTTCAACAGAGCTAAAATGGTCAAGCAACTTGTCTTCCTTATCCCGTTTAAAAAGTACAGAGATTTGTCACAGTTAGATTGTAAGCCGCATAGGTAAGCTGCTGATCTGGACGATCGTTCCGCCCTACTGAGACTCGTCAGTGGTCCCCTAATGAGAATCGAACCCATGACCGCTAGTGGTCTGCGCCACTAGCCAGCAGCTTATGCCACTGAGCCATGTGGGACGATAGTCGACCATCATAGATTGAAATGTAACTGCGATATAGCCCGAACCCTCCTCCACCCCACGCACGTTACGTGGTTAGCCGTCCGGGTCAGGACTTCGCTTGACAGGGCCATGAGTCCACAAGGCATTTTGAAGACTGGCAGGGCTTAGTTTCTGGTTACCAATGAGTAGACGGATTTGGATGTGATTCGAGGGAAGGCGTATCACTGACGAGTCCCAATACGGCGAAACGATGTCTGGTGTTTTTCCGGATTGGTAGCTTACCTGTGCGGCTTAGAAGCTAATTGTGATGATCCAACTCGAATCGTACCCAAATCCATCTACTCATTAGTAATTACAGAGGTGTCTCTACGTAGGGCACCAAAGTTTCGCTGAGGTAGCGGTGTTTGTTAGCGACCTGTACAAATTTACCAGTACAGGGGGTATTTGGCGAGGCGTTGTTCCTGATGGTACAGCTTTGACCGAAAAACGAGGTGCGACATGTTAAGACACGCTGTCATACCCTCGACTATCTGGTCAACTGTAAGTTCCGTTCGCTCATCAAGAGTGACGTCTTCATGTAGATAACATCTCGCTATTCCTAGCGTCTCTTCTTAGGGTATATTTGGGAAAAGTGACGTCACATCGAGGTTTGCCATCAACGCATCTGGCTCCATGGTGAGACTTGCAATATTTAAGACGAACACGCAGGAGTTCTGCAATGGCCCTGCCATATATCCAGCATCTGGTCTGACGAAGCTTTTGTGTCCAAAGCGAAACGCTGCTCAATAAATACGCCAGCCGATGGTTTCCAAACCTCTCTAAAGTCATAACTGCAGTTCCGAGAGTTGACAAGGATATCTCCTCCTCTGCTAACACCGTGAAGCAGCATAAAGTCATGTGACGTTGAGAGTAAGTTATACGAAGGGTAACCTTCTTCGCAGTTACATATGTACAAGTCTATAAAGAAAAGAAAAACAACAGAGGGATGAGACACTTGGGCCGACTATAGGGCGTGCTAACACAAAATGATCGCTTGAACACAAACAGCTAGAAGAGGATAACATGTGGGTTGGAGTAAGGGGGTGCCACCACTCTGTGGACAAATGAAACATATTATTAAGAAGGTGGGAGGAATTGTCGAGGCAGAAATCCGGTGGCCGTGGTCCAGATATACATATGCAAACGAGCGCGCGGTTGGAACTTGAACAAATAATGTGTACCACACACAGTGACATAGAGAGGAATGTGTGCAAAAGACTGGGCCAACACATGGCACTCAAAAACTGGGCTGCAGGAGGCACGACAGGAAAGCAAGAGAATTAAGCTGAGTACAGATAACGGTACGGTAGAACAGGGCGCTCTACTGCGCCTTAGGGAACACAGAAGAAAGTAAGACGTTCTCGTCTAAATTGTTTGGGTGCGAAAGTGGAGGCAGCACGCGGGAACGTGTTTGGCACACCTGACTGGATTACGATAAATGCGTACCAGAAAAAAGAACAAAATGATAAAATATTATTAAACAAAACAACAAGACAGAGTAAAGCAAAGTAGGACAGATATAAGCAGAGACGGAAAACTGTGGCTGACACGAGCCCGTATATGTATCGCAGTAGTTCTTACATGTCATCCTGGCCTCGCCCATGAGGAAGAGTCTCATCCTCAGTGGGTCTTGTAAGCGACTGCAGAGCCGGTAAAGCGCTATTCCGGCGGGGACGTCCATCTGGCTCAAAATCTTCCGCCGCTCTCAACAACGGTAGTGGTGATTGCCGATGGTCAGCGTAGGGTCTATACAACAGGGAGCACAATGCGTTCTGGTTCGTCTGTCCGGGCAAGGGGACTGAGCACCTCTGAACTGCCTCGTCACCCACTGGTAGCGGTGTTTGTGCTGGGCCAGACAAATTCGGACAGTCAGTGAGTGTGGTCATATCCACTGGCGATTGTGGCTGGCATCTCTGATCATTTGTACTTGCCACCTCTTTTCGGGACGGGTGTTGATAGGGAAGAGTAGATTTCAATTCAGGGGGATGATATCTCACAGGATAGAGCAAGGGAACTGAATCCTTGTCATCAAAACGGTGTAGTCCACATGAAGGGGCGCTGTGGAGACTAATGTAGCTATCTGCATGCATCGGATCTAAATATGATCCGACGGAGGGGAATCGATGCCGTCCGGGCTCACTGCGACCGGTGATGGCGGTATCGCATTTGGACGCAGAGTCGAACTCCGGTTCACCCAGCTCGCCCGTGGACGCTGTGAACAATAGCCGTGGAGGTAGAAGAGATGGGACGCGACCCTGAGTCATATGATTGGACTTTCGTACAACCGAGTCGTCTAGATCCAGAAGGGACATGGTGGAGGTGACTACCAGATCGACTTTGTCCGGCGGGTGGTGGAGCGTAACAATTGGCAGAGTTGTTGGTCCTAAGAACCACTCTGCACGACGAGAAAGGTTTTCCATTTGTCGTCTTCGAAGAGACCTATACCGACTTTGGTTCCGCCGAAGTGTAATTGTGCACGTGGGGATGTTGTGGTCTAACGCAACGTTCGAGGCGTTCATATTTCCATCAACATCAGACGTCTGAAAAAGATTAAATGTGTTATTATGTTACTACTTATGAGTAGTGCAAAAGTTAAAAAATACAGACGAGCACTAGCCTGATAAGTCCGCAACGGGTCACCATTTAGCATGATCACAGAAAACATTGGCCAGGTGAACGGATACTCCTGTAATCGCGCTAGTCAGTTTCATGTAACTAGTGAAGCGACAGAGATACAAAGGCAGTGGGCGATGATGCGCTCGATGTAAAGTGTATTTGCCGTATGAAAATGCAAACAATAATGTCACCATGGTGTCAGGGTGAAAACGGAGTGGATCGCTTTGTGTGGACGCTGTGAAAATCGGTTTGATGTTGTTGATGGAAGTTTTGTCTGCAATATGATTCAACAGATGCGTTACTAAGTTAACACAAGTTTGAGTATGGAGTCATGTAGTGTTTTTTCAGATTGAATGTAAGTGGAAAACGATGTTTGTGACGGAGGAAAGAGGTGTGTATGGTGGGAACATAAATTAGTAGATATAGCTATCATTTGTAAACCATGGGAGATGGAAGAGGAATTTCTGTTGAAATAAATTCAGGGGCTCTTCATGATTAAAGGGAAGCTATGTGCCATAAGTTGTTCGGTACAGTCATTCCAATGTGTTTGCACACTAGAGGCTGAAGGAAAGCATTACTTTATCGGCTGTGAAGCTGACGGATCACACCATCAACACCGGGGATAAAGGCTGTCAACAAGTAGAAGGATCGTAACGTATGTACAACCGAGAAACATCCAGGAGTGCTGGAATACAGTCGAATACTGCCGAAAAACAAGGAAAGGGTATCACTCAATTACTGCCAAAACGTAACGTAATTGGATACTGTTGTTGGCTTCGTACCATATACTCATGTTGATTCGCGAGCAAAAACATCCACGAAGCCGGTCAACTTTACATCCCACTAGCAGGAAACACTGCGAAACCACATATGCCTGTTGCGCAAGGGTGCCTCGGTTTTACTGACTATCAAGCGCCCTGTTTCGTATGGCCTATTATCAAAGTACAAGCAAGTGTTCTCTCGACGCAGTCCTCTCTCATTATCATTGCTGAAAGAATGTGTTGTAGCTAAGCACACTGACCAGTCGGTAGGACTCAAACGGAGTTCTTGACCCGTAATGTATCTATTCGCTGGCGTGCTATAAGGTACACGATCTGGACCCTATGGGTGAGTTGCAGTCATTTCAATGATTAGGACCACATTTCAAGTTATAGCCTGCTCTCAACGTCGGAAAAAAGCGCAAACTGTGAATCCCCAGTTGTTCAACTTCACAGGGGACTGTTGCAGCAGGAGATTTCCAAAGCACTCTCACGTAGCGCAGTCTTTCAGTCGATATCCATAACTTTATAGTGAGCAAGCCTGTCTCTTATTCCACCATCCATCACACCACTAAAATCACAGCGTTCACTTTGTTCGCCTTAGACCATTCTCACACTTTACACCTGATCTCACAGCATCATTTCAGGATGTCGGTCATTTACGGACGGATAACAGAAATATTTTGTTTTGTAAGTTTCTGAAGTAAACGTGAAAAACGAATCACCGATTCTATCACTACTCCCGAGAAGAACCGTCCGTATACTCGATCAACGCTATTTTCGACATGGCAAATTCTGACGAAGCGATTTTAGCGATTTTGTTGAAAACGCACTTGCTGGTTTGCGTTGCGCACAAAAAACCCATTTGAAAACAACACAATTTGGGTGATCAGGAAAACTGGAACTGGCAGCGACACACGGTAGTATGATCTTCCGTGCGTATTGAAAGTTTCGCAGTCGTGAAAGAAGCTCCGTTACGATGCATTTTGTAACACTACAGAACACTATGCTCACGACACAACAAAATCGTAACCCCGAAAGATGGGAACTTCATGAGCCTTCTCGGTCGCTTTATTTGGTAGGTGGTTGTTTTTTTCGAGTTCAATGGTAAACTTGATATCCTGGAATGTGTTATTGATTAGCTCATGGGTATTCTGTACGGAATCTCGCTTGATGTTGACAAACGTGTCGTCTAGGTACCGGATCCATAATTTTGGTTTGATTCGCGGTGTTGTGATACTATCCACAACTTTGATCTAGAGAATGTGAAGATCCTAGCCCGTGGAAATTCGAAGAGAGCTAGAGGATTCTTGGAAGCCTAGTATTCTGCAGACAATTCAATAAACCGACACATTGCAACAGATGCTATGTATGCAGCGCTACGGATGAAAAATCACCGAATTAGTGGCCTAAATCTAACGGACCAGAGCGGCGGACAAATGCGTCAAACGACGACAACCGAAGAGTCACGCGCGCGCTACGAGGCAAGAATCAGAGATCGATCCAAACTCGGACTGATGACTAGAAGATTGATCACTCACACTCACTGACACTTCGTGTCAAGCCGCTCTGCTGTCTCATTACTAACGTGTGATTACTGTTGGATCCTACTGGACCCCAAAACACCAAGGCCCTAGAATCAGCACTTGTGCGACCGACCTATGTTCCGCATTTTACATATTAATGAAAGCTATCCTGAAAACAGTCCGATCAGATCGCCGTGCTACCTCCTATGGACATAACGGGTGCCATAATGTTGGGGGAAATACCAAGCGGTAAGCATATATACATTACAAACCATAACAATTGTTGCCATAAATAGCTGTGATTGTAAAAAGGAAGAATATTTTCTATTTCATTCCAACCGTGGAATCAAACGGGGCAGGAAAACACAAATTACGCTTTCGATGAGGATGTTTAATCCCGTTAACTTTATCCTTGAAATCTCCCAAAACTTCACATCGCCCTATTTCTTGAGGATACTAGCAACGAATATAATTAGATGGGTATTAACCCAACCACTTCATCCTATGAGCCATATGGTCTGTGATAAAGCTATACTAGAGAACTGAAAGTCCAACAAGTATACTTGGTGGCCGGTCAACCATTGCATCCCGTGTTTTTCGTGCGAGGTCTCGGTATACTCTCAAGCTACGATCTAAAGTCTATGGACAACACCAATACACAAAGTGGTGAATGTATGGAACGACCTGCCACAGCACGTAGTTGAGGCAAAGTCGGTGTCGGAATTTAGGCAATTCCTGGACAAACACTTTGCCGACATAAAATATATCGAGAGCATCACAACATAACCAGCCTTTGTCTCTGAGTGACATTAGATGCAGCTACACAGAGTAAACTCTATTTTCGGATTCCAACCAGTAATTGACCTCGGTCGTTGGTGTAGAAACAGTGTGTTCACACAGTGGTTTTGCACAGAGGAAGGGGTATCTTCGCATGCCAACTTCACACATCACTGACCGAGCAATGTAGACAAAGTTGTGGCACAGATAGTGTTTCGAAGCAACGCCGGCGTTGTCGATCCTCTACTGTTTAGGGTCATACACGATCTCCCGTGGCTCAGAGATGCAAATGGATGAGTGCCAGATGCCACCATGGCGCCCAGTTTTACTACCATGTGAACCGTTTGTCTGCTGCACTCAATTCATTCCGACTGATGGATATTAGGTGTTGCTCGCCGAAAACACCGCACTCCACTACCTGATGAGAACAATCAAGTTCGAGATTCAATCTCTATCTGTCTCATCAGTTCCCGTCCTAATGATCGAAGCGACTAAAGTTCACTTGTATGTGAATCACGATCCACATTGAGAATGCGCGTTGCAATCCATTCACACACATAACGAGTGCTTCCAAATGACCTTTTCAATCCCCTAACAGTTGCCTCAGATAGGGGATGCATGCGGCGATGAGGTGGCGGTGATCCCAGTCAAGGTAGTTCACACGTCAGGAGGAGGAAGGAAGCAAGGGGCAGAAGGCACTGGCACTACCGACGTTTTGTTGCCACGCTCCCACCACCGGCCCTGCATGGGGTGGGCATATAGTGAAGTCGCCCGCACCCCTACGCGGATTCGAACCGATGACCACCTCCGAACTACAACGTAAGCGTGTAATTCGTTCGACCACCAGCTGACATGAAGCAGAGGACACAATAAAGTATTACCTCTGCCTGTGGGGATGAATGGAAGCGGTTGTCAGCCGGTGGCCGAGTGGTCTGCACGCCTGCCTTAGGTCCCCGGTTCAATTCCGCGTAAGGGCGGGCGTCCTCGCGGTATACTCAGCCCACGCGCAACTGGAGGTAGCCGCGTGGCAGCGAAGTGCGGTTACGGTGTACAGCTGACACATCATCATTTTTTCGCATGATTGGATAATGGAAATAATTGACTGCTGTATACTTCTTGGTAATGCAACCTTATCGATGAGATCTAATGTAGACTCTGATGCTGCCTCCCCATGTCTGTGGAGCGGTAAGATGTCCCATCGACTGGGCTATATTTACTTGTTCAAAAGCCTGATTCCGTGTACTAATCACATACGCTAATGTATAGAATGGTTAACATGTATTGTGTGATAGAGACCACACCACTGGACCAATGTGTGGCGCGTTGCGAACCGAAGAGACGCTTGTCGAATTTTCACTAAATTTCCCCAGACTACCGCGCTGTATCTTCTGGTTTCTCGATTACAGGAGTATTAAGCTTCCAAACTCGTTGAGAAGGCTTAGGTTATTCAATTTTCTCTACCTCTCTTCATCATAGATGCATGAAGTGTCCATTGTATGAGCATACGTCAAGCCGAGTTTCCTCTCGCCGTAGCACCGTCACTATCAGTATGAAGAAGCCTCCGTTATGTATTCGTCGATAATTTGCTCCATAATCTTCGTTTAATTGCAGGGTTTTATCTGCGTTTGGATACTTTTGTCTTATACTGGCAGAGGCTATGATAGTTGTATTTCGTCAAATACCACGTTTACGGTCCCTGTGATATTCACATCCGACTGCGTCTACCGCGTGTGCCTGCAGATCCGCGGGAAAGTGAAAATAGAAATCGCCAAAGAAGACGTAGGAAACTTTCTGCTGTATCCTTGTGTCAAGTTCATACAATAATATATATATATATATATATATATATATATATATATATAT